GAGGCCAGGCTTGACTTGTGAGAGTTAGGTCCACCAGGCTGTTGCTTGGAGCGGCCCGCAGGCCCACATACCCACCACAGCCCGGTTGGTCCGGAACTTCCCTTAGAAAACAGTCCAGTTTTCTCTTGAAAATGTCCACGGTTGTTCCGTCATGTCCGGCTCAGCAGCTAAACATATCCACAGGAAACCCAAAAGTCTTTTATTTTCCAAAAGCTGACTAGAAAATACAACTCTTCCCTAAGAACACAGAACTGGTGTGATGGTGCTTGGACTGACGGGACGAAAAGCTTCAACAAGCAAATTGTTTATATACAAGAAAGATCAATCAAGAGAGTAAACATAATGACAGTTATGTCAGGACACAAGATAAACAACAAACAACATATAAGACATAAACAAAGTGTTCAGCTCCCCGCGGAGCTCTGCGGGGTCGTCTTAGAGACAATGTCTGGCTACACACACACACTTCTAGGCATTTATAACTAGAAGACAGATACCAATAGCATCTTTAGTTGTCCAGATCATGTTCAAGAGAAGTGGAAGGAGGTTCAGCTGGTGCTGGGTAGTGAGGTCCTACACTGACGCCTGCGTGAGACCAGCTCCACCCTCCTTACCAGGCCCCACCACACATACATCTATCATAAGAAATACAATCACCATAAGAAATACAATCAGTATAAGTAATACAATCACCATAAGTAATACAATCAACGTAAGAAATCATCAGAAATGAGAAATACAATATCTACAAGAAAAGGGCTGTACTCACCTAGTTGTACTCACCTAGTTGAGTTTGCGGAGGTTGAGCTCTGGCTCTTTGGTCCCGCCTCTCAACTGTCAATCAACTGGCGTACAGGTTCCTGAGCCTATTGGGCTCTATCATATCTACATTTGAAACTGTGTATGGAGTCAGCCTCCACCACATCACTGCCCAATGCATTCTATTTACTAACTACTCTGACACTGAAAAAATTCTTTCTAATGTGTCTGTGGTTCATCTGGGTACTAAGTTTCCACCTGTGTCCCCTTGTTCGTGTCCCACCCGTGCTGAAGAGTTTGTCTTTGTCCACCCTCTCAATTCCCCTGAGAATTTTGTAGGTGGTTATCATGTCTCCCCTTACTCTTCTGTTTTCCCTGGATGTGAGGTTCAGCTCCCTTAGGCTTTCCTCGTAGCTCATACCTCTTAATTCCGGGACCAGTCTGGTGGCATACCGCTGAATCTTCTCTAACGTCGTCTTGTGTTTAACTAGGTATGGACTCCAGGCTGGAGCTGCATACTCCAGGATTGGTCTGACGGTATATAACTGGTATAACTGGAAGTGGTATACAGGGATATACTGACGGTATATAACTGGTATAACTGGAAGTGGTATACAGGGTCCTGAACGATTCCTTACACAAGTTTCTAAAGGCAGTTCTCATGTTGGCCAGACTAGCATATGCCGCTGATGATATCCTTGTGATGAGGGCCTCTGGGGACAGGTTCGGCGTGATATCAACTCCCCCAGACTGTGTACCACAAGGCAGGTGTACCGTATTCTGCAACTGAACCAAGCAGAATCAAGGTAGGCAATATGGGCCACATTGCCTCAAAGGCCTGTACTCCGTAGCCCACAACATAGTGCCAAAACAGTCCCCCTTCAGAGTCAGTCCTTCTGCCGTTGCAGTGTAGTTCTGCAGCGGCAACACCGCACACATCCCAGCCCGTCCTCCTAAGGTCTCCCAGCGTCAAGAAACTGTCGTCCTAAAGTGACCTTATCCAAAGCTACCAGAGGACCCAAAACAGAAAATGGGATTGTATTTCGCGACCCGCTTCCATTGTCCTGGTACGACGATGTTTTGCCTGAGGCAGAGTATACCTGCGAGGGTGTACTGGGAGGCCGGGTGTCGCAGCCACGAGTGTCTTGAGGCCAACACTGACCAGCAGGCCTCCACACCTCGCACGGCCCTCATACTGCTTCACACTAACGAAGGCTAGAGGGGAAGACAACTGCCCCAGCACCATGCAGGGGGGAGGGGACAAGGGCTACCCCCCCCCCAACGCCATTAAGGGGTGGGGGGGGAAGCAACCAAGGGCTATTCCCCTAACACCATTTTTTTTTTTAATTTTGCCCCGAGGAGCGAGTTTATTTGGCAGCGCCACTCATCCTGTGAGTGGACACATCGCCATAGCAGCATGTACAACACTCCCCAATAGGAAGAAAACCCGCTGGGTTGTTCATCCTGTCACTTGTACCCAGACACAGCTGGGACTTGCTTAACTGTCTCAAGTGAACAGCTCCTCAAACAAGAAGATTAACATCTGTCAACCCATAAAATCTTACGCTATCTTGCGGGGGCAAAATCAACACCATGATGGGGGAGGCGGGTGGCGGATAAGTGCTCCCCCCCACACCCCACACCATGAGGGGGGGGTCAAGTGCTACACTCCCCCCCCACACCATGGAAGGGGGGGGACAAGTGCTCCTCTCCCCCACCGTGAAGGGGGGGGACAAGTGCTCCTCCCCCCCCACACACACCGTTAAGGGGGGGGGCAGACAAGTGCTCCCCCCCCCCACCGTGAAGGGGGGGGGACAAGTGCTCCTCCCCCCCCCCCACCGTGAAGGGGGGGGACAAGTGCTCCTCCCCCCCCCCCACCGTGAAGGGGGGGACAAGTGCTCCCCCCCCCCCCCCCCCGCCAACACCGGCACGTCAGCCAGTGTGTCCAGCGTCACCTTGTTATGGCCGCCGCCGCCATGTTTGTTGACATAGTGTCCACGCATCGTGAGGTACGTGACTGTTTACATCAGTCATTTGTCCGTGTCTGGAGTGTCCTTGTCACGTGTGCCCGTGTTCGCCTCTCTATCACCTCCCCATATGTTCATTGACTAAGGAAAATCTTCATAATTTTATGCATTTAGAGTGTAAATAAAAATGGAATTAATATACATGTTTTTGAGTGTTGATGTGTTAATATGGCAGAGCAGGCGACGCGGGGGGTCGTTGCCATATTAAGAGCTTGGCCGTCATTCATTATTCTGCCAGAGTGTGACTCTCCTGATGTGTGCTGGGCCTAGTGTTGACGAGTGGGGGGTTGGCGGAGTGGGAGAGGTAGAGTGAGAGAGGCAGAGTGAGAGAGTGAGAGAGAGAGAGAGAGAGAATGAGTGTATGTATGTGTGTGTGTGGGGGGGGACGGTTGAGCTCTGGCTCTTTGGTCCCGCCTCTCAACCGTCAATCAACTGGTGTACAGGTTCCTGAGCCTACTGGGCTCTGTCATATCTACATTTGAAATGTGTATGGAGTCAGCTAACTACTCTGACACTGAAAAAGTTCTTTCTAGCGTCCCTGTGGCTCATTTAAGTACTCAGTTTCCATCTGTGTCCCCTTGTTCGTGTACCACCCGTGTTGAATTGTTTATCCTTATCTACCCTGTCAATTCCCCTGAGGATAATGTGTGTGTGTGTGTGTGTGTGTGTGTGTGTGTGTGTGTGTGTGTGTGTGTGTGTGTATACTAGTTGTGTTTTTGCGGGGGTTGAGCTTTGCTCTTTCGGCCCGCCTCTCAACTGTCAATCAACTTTTTCTACTACTACTTTTTTTTGGCACCACACACACACACACACACACCAGGAAGCAGCCTGTGACAGCTGACTAACTCCCAGGTACCTATTTACTGTTAGGTAACAGGAGCATAGGGTGAAAGAAACTCTACCCATCGTTTCTCGCCGGCGCCCGGGATCGAACCCGGGACCACAGGATCACGTGCCCAGCGTGCTGTCCGCTCGGCTACCGGCTCCAGGTGTGTGTGTGTGTGTACTCACCTATTTGTGCTTGCAGGATCGAGCTTGGCTCTTGGATCCCGCCTTTCTAGCCATCGGTTGTTTACAGCAATGACTCCTGTCCCATTTCCCTATCATACCTAATTTTAAAATTATGAATAGAGTTTGCTTCCACAACCTGTTCCCCAAGTGCATTCCATTTTTCCACTACTCTCACGCTAAAAGAAAACTTCCTAACATCTCTGTGACTCATCTGAGTTTCCAGTTTCCACCCATGTCCCCTCGTTCTGTTATTATTACGTGTGAACATTTCATCTATTTCCACTTTGTCAATTCCCCTGAGTATTTTATATGTTCCTATCATATCTCCTCTCTCCCTTCTTTTCTCTAGTGTCGTAAGGTTCAGTTCCCTCAGACGTTCTTCATATCCCATCCCTCGTAACTCTGGGACAAGCCTCGTCTCAAACCTCTGAACCTTCTCTAGTTTCCTTATGTGTTTCTTCAGGTGGGGGCTCCATGATGGCGCGGCATACTCTAAGACTGGTCTCACGTAGGCAGTGTAAAGCGCCCTAAAAGCCTCCTCACTTAGGTTTCTGAATGAAGTTCTAATTTTCGCCAGTGTAGAGTACGCTGCTGTCGTTATCCTATTTATATGTGCCTCAGGAGTTAGATTAGGTGTCACATCCACTCCCAGGTCTCTTTCTCGAATCGTTACAGGTAGGCAGTTCCCCTTCATTGTGTACTGTCCTTTTAGTCGTCTATCACCTGATCCCATTTCCATAACTTTACATTTACTGGTCTTCAACTCCAGTAGCCATTTCCCTGACCATCTCTGCAACCTGTTTAAGTCCTCTTGGAGGATCCTTCAATCCTCATCTGTCACAACTGTTCTCATTAATTTTGCGTCATCCGCAAACATTGTTATGTATGATTCCACTCCTGTAAACATATCATTTACGTAAATTTGAAATAGGATTGGTCCCAGCACCGATCCTTGAGGTACTTGTGTGTGTGTGTGTGTGTGTGTGTGTGTGTGTGTGTGTGTGTGTGTGTGTGTGTGTGTGTGTGTGTGTGTGTGTGTGTGTGTGTGTGTGTGTGTGTGTGTGTGTGTGTGTGTGTGTGTGTGTGTGTGTGTGTGTGTGTGTGTGTGTGTGTGTGTGTGTGTGTGTGTGTACATGTAGACATGTAAGGTTTATAACTAAAACATTGTGACTAGACCTAACGCATATTTTTCTTCCTTAACAGTTCGTGGAGTTTGCGAGACTTGTGTTTCGCTCCCAGCTTTCCAGTCTCTGATAATTACCTAATAGAAAAGGTGAGTGAGCTGACGCCCACTTCCCCAAGTGTTGCTGAGCTGTGTGGGTGTGTGTCTAGCATGCCTTTAGTCACACTCTGAACCCCCTAGCGTCACCTCCAGGTGTAGGAACATATCTCTGGCCACCAGCAGTAAGGGCAGTGGGCCCCACCTTGTAGTACTCTCAAATATTGTCTTATTAATAGGGAGATATTGTATAATGAATTAAAAAAGAATGTGATGTGTCTGTGTGGAACCATTGAGGCTGTGATGAGATGGGGCTGACGTCCCTGGACTCTCCAGCGTGTGTGTGTGTGTGTGTGTGTGTGTGTGTGTGTGTGTGTGTGTGTGTGTGTGTGTGTGTGTGTGTATTCACCTAGTTCACTTTGTGTTTGCGGGGGTTGAGCTTTGCTCTTTCGGCCCGCCTGTGTGTACTCACCTATTTGTGCTTGCGGGGGTTGAGCTTTGGCTCTTTGGTCCCGCCTCTCAACTGTCAATCAACTGGTGTACAGATTCCTGAGCCTACTGGGCTCTATCATATCTACATTTAAAACTGTGTATGGAGTCAGCCTCCACCACATCACTGCCTAATACATTCCACCTGTTAACTACTCTGACACTGAAAAAGTTCTTTCTAACGTCCCTGTGGCTCATTTGGGTACTCAGTTTCCACCTGTGTCCCCTTGTTCGCGTACCACCAGTGTTGAATAGTTTATCCTTGTCTACCCTGTCAATTCCCCTGAGGATTTTGTAGGTAGTGATCATGTCTCCCCGTACTCTTCTGTCTTCCAGTGTCGTAAGGTGCATTTCTCGCAGCCTTTCCTCGTAACTCATGCCTCTTAGTTCTGGGACTAGTCTAGTGGCATACCTCTGAACTTTTTCCAGCTTCGTCTTGTGCTTGACAAGGTACGGGCTCCATGCTGGGGCCGCATACTCCAGGATTGGTCTTACGTATGTGGTATACAAGATTCTGAATGATTCCTTACACAGGTTCTTGAAGGCTGTTCTGATGTTAGCCAGCCTCGCATATGCCGCAGACGTAATTCTCTTTATGTGGGCTTCAGGAGACAGGTTTGGTGTGATATCACCTCCTAGATCTTTCTCTCTGTCCGTTTCATTAAGTACTTCATCTCCTATTCTGTATCCTGTGTCTGGCCTCCTGTTTCCACCGCCTAGTTTCATTACTTTGCATTTACTCGGGTTAAACTTTAGCAGCCATTTGTTGGACCATTCATTCAGTCTGTCTAGGTCATCCTGTAGCCTCCTACTATCATCCTCTGTTTCAATCCTCCTCATAATTTTTGCATCATCAGCAAACATTGAGAGAAACGAGTCTATACCCTCTGGGAGATCATTTACATATATCAGAAACAGTATAGGTCCAAGGACTGACCCCTGCGGGACTCCACTTGTGACGTCACGCCAATCTGAGACCTCACCCCTCACAGTGACTCGTTGTCTTCTGTTGCTTAGGTACTCCCTTATCCAACGGAGTACCTTCCCTTTCACTCCAGCCTGCATCTCCAGCTTTTTCACTAGCCTCTTGTGTGGTACTGTATCAAAGGCTTTCTGACAATCCAAAAATATGCAGTCTGCCCACCCTTCTCTTTCTTGCCTTATTTTTGTTGCCTGGTCGTAGAATTCAAGTAACCCTGTGAGGCAGGACCTGCCATCCCTGAACCCATGTTGATGCTGTGTTACAAAGTTCTTTCGCTCCAGATGTTCCACTAGCTTTCTTCGCACAATCTTCTCCATCAGCTTGCATGGTATGCAGGTTAGGGACACTGGCCTGTAGTTCAGTGCCTCCTGTCTATCCCCTTTCTTGTATATCGGGACTACATTAGCTGCTTTCCAAATTTCTGGCAGTTCCCCTGTTGCCAGTGATTTGTTATACACTATGGAGAGTGGCAGGCACAGTGCTTCTGCTCCTTCCTTTAGTATCCAAGGGGAGATTCCATCTGGGCCTATAGCCTTTGTCACATCCAACTCTAGTAAACACTTCCTTACTTCCCCACTGGTAATCTCAAACTCTTCTAGTGGTTCCTGGTTAACTATTCCCTCTCTTATCTCTGGAATCTCTCCTTGCTCTAAGGTGAAGACCTCCTGGAATTTCTTATTCAGTTCCTCACACACTTCCTTGTCGTTTGTAGTGAATCCTTCTGCCCCTATCCTTATTTTCATAACCTGTTCCTTTACTCATTTGTTTTTCTTCTCCTGATGTGGCTGTGCAGCAATTTAGGCTGAGTCTTTACCTTGCTTGCGGTGTCATTTTCGTATTGTCTTTCTGCCTCTCTTCTCATCCTGACATATTCATTCCTGGCATTCTGGTATCTTTCTCTGCTCTCAAGTGTCCTGTTATTCCTATAGTTTCTCCATGCCCTTTACTTTGCTGCTTAGCTAGCCTACATCTCTGATTAAACCATGGGTTTCTCATCTGCATTTCATTGATTTCCTTCTGGACTGGGACAAACTTGTTTCCTGCTTCCATTCTGTGTGTGTGTGTGTGTGTGTGTGTGTGTGTGTGTGTGTGTGTGTGTGTGTGTGTGTGTGTGTGTGTGTGTGTGTGTGTGTGTGTGTGTGTGTGAGTGTGTGTGTGTGTGGGTGGGGAGTCCAGGGGTGTGGCAGGACTGTGTGTGGCGACAGTAAGTGTTGGTGAAGGTGCTGGCAGTGTGTGTGTCACTAGCGGGTGTGTATTGTGTTGCAGATCTTCGAGGTGATGACGCCGTGCGCCATCATCACCCCTCTCGCCTTATTTAAAATATAGTTTTGTTCCAGCAATTTGATTTATATTTCTCTCCAGTGAGTTTGTTATCTTGAAATGATTTCGGGGCTTAGCGTCCCCGCGGCCCGGTCCTCGACTAGGCCGTCTTTTTTTTACCCCCCCCCCCCCCGCGAAGCAGCCCGTAGCAGGTGTCTAGCTCCCAGGTACCTATTTACTGCTAGGTGAACAGTAAGGGCACCCTGATGACCCATCAAGGTGAAAGAAACTCTTCTCAGTTGTTTCCCAGTTATCTCCACAGGGGATTGAACCCGGAACTACGAATCCCGAGCGCTGTCCACTCAGCTATCAAGTCCCTCAATTGTTGATTGTATATAGTTGGGACTTGACCTTGGAGTGTGGTTGATGGTATACTTGTCTGGCGTCTCAGGAGAGAACATGCCGGTGCTCTAAGACGGTTCCAGTAATGTAGGAAGTGTAATGTTTATCTTGAGTGTTCCACGTGGCTCCGTCTTGTGCTGCTCTGGTGTTCCTTGACACAGAGAGTATATATATATGTTCCTTACCCCCCGGAACACTGGCCAGCTCTGGCGTGGGACAAGTAGCCTGGGAGCAGGCGGAGCCCGAGTGACCTGCTACTGGAAGCTTGCCGCCAAGGACGGCCACCAATAAAGCCGCTATATACATACATACATACATACATGCATACATACATACATACATACATATATATATATATATATATATATATATATATATATATATATATATATATATATTTATAAAATATATATATATATATATATTTATATATATATATATATATATATATATATATATATATATATATATAAAATATATATAAAATATATTTTATATATATTTATATATATAAAAATATTTATAAAAAATATATATATATATATATATATATATATATATATATATTATATATATTTATATATATATATATATATATATATATATATATATATATATATATATATATATATATATATATATATATATATATATATATATATATATATATATATATATATATATGTCGTACCTAGTAGCCAGAACTCACTTCTCAGCTTACTATGCAAGGCCCGATTTGCCTAATAAGCCAAGTTTTCATGAATTAATGTTTTTTCGTCTACCTAACCTACCTAGCCTAACCTAACCTAACTTTTTTTGGCTACCTAACCTAACCTAACCTATAAAGATTGGTTAGGTTAGGTTAGGTAGGGTTGGTTAGGTTCGGTCATATATCTACGTTAATTTGAACTCCAATAAAAAAAAATTGACCTCATACACAGTGAAAAGGGTAGCTTTATCATTTCATAGGAAAAAAATTATAGAAAATGTATTAAGTCAGGAAAACTTGGCTTATTAGGCAAATCGGGCCTTGCATAGTAGGCTGAGAAGTGAGTTCTGGCTACTAGGTACGACATATATATATATATATATATATATATATATATATATATATATATATATATATATATATATATATATATATATATATATATATATATATATATATATGTCTGCGCGAGTTTTTATCAGGAGACCAGGTATTGATTACATGGTTGGGTAAATAGGTGAGCGCCTCAACGTTATCGGAGGGGCCCGCCGCCAGGTCCCCAAGCAGCAGTCACAGTCCCGGCCGTGGTGTGTAATGTGTGGCGGGGAACACGGGCCGGGGCAACACTGGAGGGACGGGCCGGGGCAACACTGGAGGGACGGGCCGAGGCAAAACTGGAGGGACGGGCCGGGGCAACACTGGAGGGACGGGCCGGGGCAACACTGGAGGGACGGGCCGGGGCAACACTGGAGGGACGGGCCGAGGCAAAACTGGAGGGACGGGCCGAGGGGATGGAACTCTCCACAAAAACCCGTCGAGGCTCCATAATGGGAGGTGAGAACACGTTATAATGAGGTATTGGTAAGTTGGGGAGAGTAGCGGGTGGCGGCGGCGGCGCCCCTGGTGAGAGCCATAACCAATACTGGAGGTGTGATGTAAGGTGTTGGTCGGCCAGGCTCCCAGCCCCGCCCCCGTCACACTCACCACACCGCTATAACACCCTCCTCCCCTACAACTCACTCTCATACCATCTGGACTGTTTCGTACAGCGACGGCCTCGTATTGTGCTGCCATAAACAAGTCTGCGGGGCGCTGTAGACAACAGTCTGCGGGGCGCTGTAGACAACAGTCTGCGGGGCGCTGTAGACAACAGTCTGCGGGACGCTGTAGACAACAGTCTGCGGGGCGCTGTGGACAACAGTCTGCGGGGCGCTGTAGACAACAGTCTGCGGGGCGCTGTGGACAACAGTCTGCGGGGCGCTGTGGACAACAGTCTGCGGGGCGCTGTGGACAACAGTCTGCGGGGCGCTGTAGACAACAGTCTGCGGGGCGCTGTAGACAACAGTCTGCGGGGCGCTGTGGACAACAGTCTGCGGGGCGCTGTGGACAACAGTCTGCGGGGCGCTGTGGACAACAGTCTGCGGGGCCCTGCAGACAACAGACTGGGTGTACCCGTCACTAGGTGTAGACGGGTGGGAGGTGTACCCGTCACCAGGTGTAGACGGGTGGGAGGTGTACCCGTCACCAGGTGTAGACGGGTGGGAGGTGTACCCGTCACTAGGTGTAGACGGGTGGGAGGTGTACCCGTCACTAGGTGTAGACGGGTGGGAGGTGTACCCGTCACCAGGTGTAGACGGGAGGTGCAGGGAAGCAACACAGCCAGCGGGCTAACCGCTCATGTTTGCAGTAGTCGTTATAGGTTATATAACGCTCTGATACACGTGTATTTAAGGGGGGGAGGGGGAACACCTGAGGTCAGGTGTTAGTTGGGGCGTCAATTGGTGCTGAGTGCCTGGCAAACACCTCCAGTGGGGGCTTTATGGCGGGTGTTGGGGCATGATGCCAGCGTGGGGCGGGTGTTGGGGCATGATGCCAGCGTGGGGCGGGTGTTGGGGCGAGGTCCCCTCAACAGGCTGGTGGTCTATATGAGAGAATATCTGATCACCCAGGCTGTGATTCATGCATCAGGCTGCCTAGCAGCCGCGTGGACCTCTCACACACTCACAGCTCCCTGACAAGAGGGAGCCAGCTTAGCTTAGCTGCCAACACCCACACATCGTGTCAGCAAGGCAGACAGCCCGCCTGCTTTCATACCTCTCACTGTATTTCCCACTTCTATACTTCCCTTCACCTATGCCTCTCTCTCCTCTTTACTCCCCCCCCCCCCCAAAAAAAATCAGAGCTAGGGGCAGGGGGTAGGGGAGGGGGGGTGCCTCAGAGCAAGGGGAAGGATGAATGAGGACCTTAACAGTGATAAATTCCAGGTACTCGGGTACGGCAAAAATGAGGACCTGAAACATAATACAGGGTACAAAACACAATGAAATGTGCCCATAGTAGGAAAGCAACATGTCAAGGATTTGGGAATAATGATGTCTGACGACCTAACGTTTAGGGAGCATAACCAAGCAAATATTGCGTCAGTGAGAAAAATGATAGGATGGATTACGAGAACTTTCAAATCCAGGGATCCCATCACAATGGTTGTACTCTTCAAGTCACTTGTGTTGTCTCGTCTCGAGTACTGCTCAGTACTCACTTTCCCCTTCAGAGCAGGAGAGGTTGCTGAAATAGAGGGAATACAGAGAACATATACGGCACGCATAGACGAGATAAAGCACCTAAATTATTGGGATCGTCTCAAAGCTCTCCAAATGTACTACTCTCTAGAAAGGAGACGAGAGAGATACCAAATAATATACACGTGGAAGATACTGGAGGACCAGGTCCCAAATCTACACAGTAAAATAACAACGTACTGGAGTTAACGACATGGAAGAAAATGCAGAACTGAACCAGTGAAGAGCAGAGGTGCCATAGGCACAATCAGAGAACACTGTATAAACATCAGAGGTCCGCGGTTGTTCAACGTCCTCCCAGCAAGCATAAGAAATATTGCCAGAACAACCGTGGACATCTTCAACAAGAAACTAGATACTTTTCTTCAAGGAGTGCCGGTCCAACCGGGCTGTGGTAGGTATGTGGGCCTGCGGGTCGCTCCAAGCAACAGCCTGGTGGACCAAACTCTCACAAGTCAAGCCTGGCCTCGGGCCGGGCTTGGGGAGTAGAAGAACTCCCAGAACCCCATCAACCAGGTATCAACCAATCAGTCACAAACAACAACATGGATCCCCTCACCCAACCACCAGTTTGCCTACGTACTTTCCTGCCTGAATCCCTCCTTACCTCTATACCTCCCTACTCCCGTTCCTCCCTGCCTACCTAGGTATCTACGGTCCTCCCTGCCTACCTAGGTATCTCCGTGTCTCCGTGTACGCCTGTGTACCCAGCCAGTTGTGGGTACACATAATGGGTGTAACATTAGAATGCCGACACAGACCTACAGCGACCTGGGTAACAATGCCCAGGTCTCTCCTTCCTTCCCCCTCCCTTAACACCCACCACCCTCCCTCTCTCCCTCCCTACCATGACACCCACTACCCTCCCTCCCATCACACTCACCAGCCTCCCTCCCTCACAGCCAAGTTCCCTTCCATCCTATCCTCTCTTCACAGCCAGGCTTCTTTCCATCCCGTCCTGAGAGGAGCCTCTCTCTCTTACCCATACATTCTTCTCCACGCCGACTCCTGGTTGATACCTGGTTGATGGGGTTCTGGGAGTTCTTCTACTCCCCAAGCCCGG